ACTACAAGGTCATTAAGATAAGATGGGGCCTGATTATTTAAGACCTTGTATGTGAGGAGCAGGATTTTGAATTCAATTCTGGATTTAACAGGTGAACTGATGAAGTCACAGTGACACACACTGTGCTTTGAAACAGGATCAGGAAGTGATACCAATGCTGAAAGCAACGCCCCAAACATATTTTACAACATATTTGTTTAGATAAAATACATTTTCAAAAATTCCATTTCATCTACAGACACCCCAGCTCCTCCATCAGTGCCTCGCATCACAGACACAACAAAACACAGCATCACCATGACTTGGACCAGGCCCATGTACGATGGTGGATCAGATGTCACCGGCTACATTGTGGAGATCCTAGAGGAGGGTTCTGAGCAGTGGTACCGTGCCACTGCCAAAGCCCTCAAGACTAATGAGTATGTGGCTGCTGGTTTGGCTGCCAATAAGAAGTTCAGATTCAGGGTTGCTGCCATTAACAGCAATGGGACTGGAGAGTTCAGTGAACCAAGTGCTGAAGTTGAACCACTTGAGAAAATTGGTAAGTAGGTGCAGATTTCTGTTGAAAAAATCAATATCTGAACTATATCTGAACTTTTGAATGTTCTATGTGAACTATGCTCCATCCACGCAGAAATACCCGACTTGGAGCTGGCTGATGACCTAAAGAAAACAGTGTGCCTCCGCGCTGGAGGTACTCTGCGCCTGTTTGTGTCTGTCACTGGTCGACCGACGCCAGTAGTGGCCTGGAGGAAGACGGGGGTGGAACTACAGAGCCGTGGTTATATTGAGACTACTGACAAGTACACAATACTGGTAGTAGAGAAGGTTGATCGCTACGACTCTGGAAAATACATTGTAGAGGCCGAGAACCCATCTGGAAAAAAGACTGCCATCATCCTTGTTAAAGTCTATGGTATGTCAACCAAAGTTTCCACAGAGTTTGTTAAAAGATTTTGGATGTCAAATATGTACAGTCAACATACAGTTAGTAAAGTAATAGTTTCTAAATATGATCTTTTTACTTGCCTCTCTTTGTCAGACACTCCTGGTCCTCCAGGTTCAGTGAATGTGAAGGACTACACCAAGGAATCTGTTGTGATCACCTGGGATGTCCCAAGCATTGATGGTGGTGCTCATGTCAGCAACTATATTGTAGAGAAGCGTGAGGCCAACATGAAGTCCTATAAGACTGTTACCACTGAGTGTAGGAAAACACTGTACAGAATCAGTGGACTGGAGGAGGGTGTGCACTACTTTTTCAGAGTCCTGCCGGAGAATATCTATGGTGTCGGTGAGCCCTGTGAGACAGCGGAGGCTGTGCTGGTGTGTGAAGTGCCCTCAGTGCCTGTGAAGCTTGAGATTGTTGATGTTTCCAAGTCTTCTGTCACCCTGCACTGGGAGAAGCCTTTGCATGATGGTGGCAGCAGATTGACAGGCTACATTATTGAGGCCTGCAAAGTAGGCTCCGACAGATGGAGTGCTGTGGCGACAGTTAAGGCCTCAGTATCCCAGCACACCGTCCAGTCTCTGACAGAAAATGACCAGTATCTGTTCAGAATCCGAGCCACGAACAGCAGGGGAGCCAGTGAATCCACTGACATTGTCACTCCAGTGATCATCCAAGAGATCAAGGGTAAGATATCAAAACACAAATCATCACGTCATTTCTGTTTTTACTAAGCTGTGAAAAGCTCCACATAAGTCATATGAAATATTTTGTGTTTACTGCAGTTATGCCCAAGATTGACATGACAAGTATCCCTCAGAAGATAGTTCACGTGCATCGTGGCAAACCCATTGACCTCAACATCCCAATAAGGGGCAGACCACAGCCAGTCTGCTCGTGGTACTTTGGTGGTGTGAAGCTGAAGGACACCCTGGACCGCATCAAGATCGACAGCAACGGCAAATATACCCATCTCGTCATCCGTGAGACGACCATCTCTGACACAGGAGACTACACACTACAGGTGAAGAATACCATAGGCATGGCAACTGAAGTTATCAAGGTTATCATCCTGGGTAAGCAGACATTCTTTACTAAACTGGATGTTTTATATTGTCAGTTTTTATTTTTTCCTTCAGAGAAAAATCAAAAGACAAAGAAATAAAAAAGACAAAAACTGTCTTCCTAAATAGCTGCCTTGTTGTTTCTGTTCAGACAAACCCAGTATTCCTATGGGTCCAGTAAATATCGAGGAAGTCGACGGTGTTTCAGTGATGGTTAGTTGGCAACCTCCAGAGAATGATGGTGGCGCCAATGTCGGCGGATATGTCGTTGAGCAGCGTGATGCCCACCGGCCTGGCTGGACCACCATCTCCGAGTCTGTGACAAGGCCGTGCTTTAAATTCACTAGGCTCTCTGAAGGAACCGAGTACGTGTTCCGTGTTGCAGCCATGAATCGTTTTGGCATTGGTGGCTTCCTGCAGTCTGATGTGGTGGAGTGCAAGAGCGCCAAGAGTAAGTTCTCTTTCCAGAAAATGTTCTTCATATGAGAATTGTGCTGCCTTTGATAACTTGCACTGTTGCTTTGAAACCCTTCTTGTTCTTTTCAAGCCCACTAGTCCAACTTCTTTCTGAAGCATTTTTTTACAGTTTCAGTTTCACACTGTTATTGGTGGTCACTGTATACAATTACAGGTAGACAGGTTCTGATTTGATATATAAACTTAAAAATCCTATTAAACTGTGGATTGCTTACTCTCACTTAACTATATGGTTCAATTCAATTCAATTCAGTTTTATTTATATAGCGCCAAATCACAACAAAAGTCGCCTCAAGGCGCTTCATAGAT